TAAATACATAAGCAATTAACCTAACAAAACAATATCTCGATTCCAACAACGTTTACCCAATGAAACGAAATGTAATACCGATCGATACGATAAATACAAATCTAATTAATGTGCAATTTATCAACGACGCTAATGGATTGCACCATTAGTGGCTTTTAAATGACCACCTCCTACATTGAAGGAGTAACACAAATATTATTATTAATACATACCCGACAAGTAAGGCTCTCAAAAAAGCAATTGAAAATTCATGTATTCCCTCCGCTCACGCAGGTAAATTACATCAACTTGAAAGTTCTGTATTCAATGTTCAATATTCGAGACATTGCCCCAGTGAAAGTTTGCCATAATATGTTATGGTTTTAACAAAAATAAATAAATTTTGTGACGTGTAGTATGTAGTATCACATATTAAATTAAAATAGATTTCTGTAAGTAATAGACTTCAAAGCTCTTTATTCTTAACTACTCGGAATATGATTATACCAAATTAACGACGGCATACTTAAGTTACCATAGAACGACACTAAATCAATAAATACTTGATCAATGTTCATCGGCTCATAAATAAACGACAGCATAGCCTACGCACCTCCACTGCTGAACATAGGCCTCCCACAGGGAATGCTACAAAGGACGGTTCTGACCCACCTACATTCATTGACTTCCTGCATATCTTACCAAGTCTACTACATATAAAAAATCAGGTGGACCGTGAACTCACTAGTCACCCTTATTTCTTTTAAATAAAAGTAGCGATCGTAGAACCAAACGAGCTACAACGTAATTTCAAAGCTTAGATTTAAATGATTCTGATCATATCATCGAGTAGCAAACTTGTACTGATAAGCAAAATGTAAGGCGGCCCCCCACTACATCGACGGACGACATGGTAAAACATGCAGGAATAAATCGATGGTTCATCTATCGACTTCTTCCTGCATATCTATATAAACAGAAAAAATGTTTCTACTTATGTCTGTTATAGACTTTGAAACCATCCAACCGATGCGCCAAATCCCTGGGTCATTATAAAGCCAATAATGTGAAGATGGTTTTACACCACTAAAACAATGCATTAGGAACTATATAGAAAAGTTAATAAATAAACATAATTTCCTTTTTTTTCCAAAATTATTTTTTAGCGTAGTATCATACGCCGGGCAGCGTCTAGTTTCATATAGTGGGCCAGGACTGTGCTTGGTGGCAGTCCTTAAGGGGCTAGTCCTGTGTTCAGCAGTAAGCTATTGAAGAGATTTAATCATACATATTAGTACTAGCCTAACTTTACAATTTTCCTTACAATAACATTCTTATAATAAAAATTCTTCTTATGATACTGTTAATTTGCCAGCTCTAAATTTCTAATGGTATTTTTATTAAGACATTTTAATCCTGATTGCCAAGCTGTACTGTAAGTGTAAATATTATAATTAAATAAAATAGATTAAAAAACCGTCCATATACGTCTTATTGTTACAGTACTGACCTCCTTTGAGGGCTTCAGGGCAAAAAACAGTGCTTATCCTTGTTAGTACATTTCTCGTCCTTTATTTCTTTTACATTCTTCAAATATGCTGGTTTCTTTTCGATGAAACACTTTCTCTCTGAGCACATGGTAAATCAACACTCAAAATTGCAGTTTGTGATTTCATTGGGATTAGCGGGGATCGAACTTGGGATTTCCCGAGTCGCAATAAAATTTTAAGACAAGCACTTATCTCATTAGCTACGAACGACAAGTGATTATTAAAAAAAGCCTAATGAGAAACGCAATATTTTCTTTAATAAGCAATCTTTACGAGCCCCGGCGATAATCACCCGCGCACTTAAATCTCTATCGTAACGGGCAGCGTTAACAAGAGTTATAATCATTTTGTTTATAATAATACACTAATAACACGTATGCCTCGATAGTTTAACGAGCTCTTAGTCTAATCTGGGATTACAATAAATCTTTCGTTAAATTTATAAAATTCTTATTTCTTCGCTCTGATTTTATTTACGCCATTCTTTCGTGTAATGGCTGACGTATTAATGCGTAACGCTTTTTTAAGGCAGCACTCTTACCGAGGAGACACACGAAGAAATATTCTCGTGAATTAGGATTAGTTCTGAAATATACGTTATTTTTAAATTAGTAACTGAGAACTATCGAACGGTCCACCCAATGATAAATGGATGCAGTGGCCCATCTATCACATCTTTTTCGATGGGAAATCAAAATCCAGATGTGTTGTAATGCATGAGGATTATCCAATTTCCATTCACCAGTTTTTACTGGGCTACGGTTCTCAACACTCACCATAAGACACACAACTGATTTATGATGCTAAGTGCATAGATTACCTTGTGAGCGTGGTCCTTCATCGGTCGAACCGACTTGACTTAACGAGCGTGGTCCTTCCTTCCCCGGTAGAGCCGACTTATCTTTATTTTACTTATCGCTTAGAAATCTCTCAGGTACAATTATCAAACGATTACAATAATATTTTTCTATTACTGTTATTACATAAATTATTTGCCATTTTGTTTTGGCATTGTGGTAACCTACATATACAGCAAACAAATAGACAACGAACATTTCAAACTGTTTACATTCACAATGCCCCCTTGTCAGAGCCAGGACTGTCTGTGTAAAATCTGTCAGAGGGTAAATCGTTCCGATCTGATCCCGATCGGGTTTGCAATCTAATACATTGGTAATTTCTTTTTTGGACACGAAACTGCAATTAATCCCTTAACAAAAGAGTTTCCTATTTTAGAATTTCGATGGCGTATGCCTTTTAAGTGACAAACATTTTCACGAGCTCTTGTGTATAACCTTGCCTGAAATTAACTGCAATTAATTTAAAGATAGTTTTGGAATTAATAAAATTGCACATAGAATTTGAAAAATAAAAAAATGTTCTGTTTATTCCTTCTCCCCCACGTATCAAATAGGTAATGACGATCAGTAAATGAGTGGGATTTTTAGTTCAAAATCACGTTAAGAAGAAGACCTTGGTTTTTTAGTTAAAATACATAACATATTCAATAAAACTATTTTAAGGATTTCTTCGGGTTTCAACTTATTTTGACTCCTTGATAAACTACAAATCCTTGCAAAAGAACACCGATTCCCTACCAAGGATGATTATTAAGACCATTGAAATTAAAAAAATTGGTTGACCCTTTGGCCATCCCCGGAACTTCCCGCTAATTTCAATATCAAGGCGCTCCAAATTCCACTTATTATGACGTTTTTGAGCTCGAAGAGCTTTTGAATTTCGGAAAACGTAATTTAATTTTTTTCAAAATTGAATATTGTTACGTGCCATAATTAATGCCTAATAGATGGATGCATGAAATTAGTTACCACTAGCGCCTTCTAGTATCGAGTAGCAGAACTAGGAGAGTCAAGATCCTTCTAGAGATTTCCATACCAGAACTTTCTACACCTAGTCAGTCAAGACCGGTATGTACTCGAACATTGTAGATTTTTCAGTAGAAGAGACCCTATTATAAGAGCGGTATAGACCGCGACCCAAGTCAGTATTTAATTGACAATTCAAGCGAATACTTCAAAGCGATACAACTGCGAACTAAAGTCATCAGTGGTACAATTGTGTTTTATTATTAGTGTGTTTTAAGTTGTAATTGATGTTCTGTAATTAAAGTGTCAATTTTGGTAATCACGAACCCCAAGCTCGTAACAATATTTTAGGAATCAATCAACCGATTTTGATGTGATTTACGGGGATCGACGCAATTTTTTCAGCTTAACAAAACAGACTATTACAAAAAAATTATTTCACGGAAATTTTATGGTGTTATAGTATCAAGGTCATCCCAATTTTGTGTTTATAACTAGGTCATTACTGATTTTTTGAAATCGCGTTGAGTTGTTGTATGAGTATCCAATAAACCGTTAATGCTGTTGTAAAGGTATATCTCATCCTCTATGCTCAACTCCTGGTGTTACTGAAATATATTTTATTCCTCAGACTCTCGTCATGTTATCTTCATTACCGAAAATGTAGTAAATTGGCACTTCTGCAATGTCATACAAATGCCTGATCTATGTGGGAATCATACGAGCGATACCGAGCCAATGCTTCCAATCAGCAGTAATAAATTTTATATATAAATTCCAGTGGGTTTCGTTAGAGGCGACAGAAAATAAAACAGGAAATGGACACCTTTCTGATAACAACTCAAAAAAAACTGCGGTTACCAACCTGCTTGCCAAGCCTAGCATTTACAACAAATATCCCCCATACTTTCAGCACATGACATATGTTCAGCAGTTGACTTTTGATAGAATATAACGAATAGATGGATCCAACGGAGTTTAAAAGATCTTCATTCTATATTTCCGTATGACGCCTATACGATACCTACCGGTCGAGATGGGGTGTAGGTTTCCCCTCATCACCCATCTAAAACATCAACAGTATAGTCATTTCACCATATTGTCTTTTAATTTTTGATTCTCTCGTTCTAATAAACGATAATTTATTAATTTTCATAAAAACCTACAGCACTTAGTATGAGACGCAAATACCGCTGGTTTTCAATTTTATTTTTTGTATTTTTCACAAAACCTATTTTTTTCACACGAAAGTACTACCACCACCTCCATTTCCGTTTTATGCGTTTCTTAAAGATTGTCATAGTACATATTACGAAGAGCAGAATAATTATTTAGGAACATTTTAGATAACGTACTGGGATTGTGAATAACTACCATAAATAGAACCATGGCGAGTAAATAAAATCCTATCAATATTTTTATATTCAAAAGTAGGCATTCAGTAAGCTAGAATATTAATGAACTTATAATATTAACTACTTACACAACAATTTCTAAAGTTGACTGTGACGCGTTGGTGAATAGTTTGAATTCTCAGTCAGTCTATCGAGGCAATAATCTATCAAGTGTGCAGATAATAACATTCCACTTTATATTTTGTGAGCGAACATTAAACCTGCAGGTTTTATTAAAAATGTATACTTACTTTTTTACAAGTATTTTTCCCGACTTGTCCGCCTTAAGGACTATCTTCGTGTGCAGCTTTTCAAGGAATTTGATGGTTGGATTATTCAGCTGATTCAGGTTGTAAGCGAGCGCAAACAGTTCCTCGGTCCACATCTGATGACAAAATATATTATGAGCAATATAATAAGCGCAATGCACTGGACTGACGCCAAAGGAAATTTCCAAAAAAAATTCCCTGCGATCAAATCTAAGCTCGAGGGTTTATTCAAATTGTTATTCGGAAATACCCGCTTCAAATAAACTGAACTACACTGCTTGCAAATTATTTCAATCAACGTTCAATAATAAATGATCGTAAATTTGTAACAGGTCGATAAATAAATTGTAGTTGTAATCATTGATTAGACCATTTACAATGTTGATACCACACGAGATTACAAACAAATTTTAAACCGACACTATATTCTTGTGGAATCAAGTACCACCAGGGATTTTCCGGACCGATACGACTTAGAGACCTTCAAGAAAAGAGACTATTCCTTTTTAAAAGGCCGGCAACGCATCTGCAATCCCTTGGTGTTGCAGCTGTTCATGGGCGACGGTAGTCGTTTACCATCAGGTGAGCCGTATGCTCGCTTGCCCCTCTCCTATAAAAAAATTCTATTATATACTTATTACATAGTTGCCGGGGTTTTTTTATTGAAAAAAGGCGAGAAACTAGCACACAGTCCACCTATTGGTAAATGGATGCTGCAGCCTATAGAAATTTATATCTTTCCTCAATTTAGAATCAAAATGCAGATGCGTTGTAACCCTTGAGGGCTAAGATGGAAATTTGTTTCCAGTAAAAGGGGTCTGCGGATCTCTACGCGTTTGTGTGTATTATTTTCCACAGAATACTTAAAGCTCATAAGAAAATACACTAAAAGCTTTCCTATAATATGTTGTCGGTCATTAATGTACATTCAAAGATATTATGAGTACCTACTTATAAATTCGTAATATCTGCAACGGAAATTCTTGTGAGCCACACATTAACAAATGTGTATAAGACTATACTATGCTATTGCAAACCTCGATGGACATAGATTCGGATTTAATTCTCTACTAACCGACATTTGCTGCCATTCTATTTTTGTTACAACGTCGTTGAATTCATATGGCGATATCGCTTTACAGAAGATCACTAAATTTAAATTCGTGAAACAAAAAAGACTGTTTGTTTTGGAAAACAACATGTGTTCTCGCAATCCTACTCACATAAACTTTCTGTTATTCTGTTATTATTCCGTCGTGCGTTGATGAAAAAAGGGAATCCATCATTCGCCTGGTCTTATGTCTACCGTGAGACTGTGCAAAATGACAAGTAGTGTCATAGCGTCTGATAGATAATATTAAAATTGTTTCGTATATTATTGTTGTTTACGATACCTACACTCGGTTTACTATATAACGAGCCTTTGAGCTCAGAAATCACGGCGTGTCGTGTATAAGTAAAACTTTCAAGAAATACCTGACCACTAATCCATACTTGGTCAGACTTTATTAGTGGTTCGGTTTGCTAAAATAGCCAGATTAACAAAAGATTAAAAAAGCCACATTTGACGATTAAGGCAAATCCTATATGAGTATATAACTATAATAAAAAGTAGTTTTTAACGGTTCGGGTCGCTCGGAGGGTGTTCTTTGAAAATCGTTGTTCCATTCCTGTAATCTACATTAACCTTAGCTTACCTTGTAGTGGATAACCACGATACAGTATTACTTGCTCGTGATACCTCATTAATTTAAACTCAACGGCAATTATTAAATTATGACGATGTGAATAATGCACTAACGAAAATTGTACATTTGTTTTGCACAAACAATTTGCTTTTAAATGCTATTAAATATGCAGGAATTGAGTATTGTGGGTTCCACTTCTTGGAATTCCTATTGATAAGAAGCAGACTTATTTCTGCAGCTTAAGCTGTAAGAAAGATCGAAAGTATCAAGATTTCATTGCATAATGACTAATCGAATTCTTCTGTTGGGGTAGTCGATGGATGCAGGTGGCTCAGGACCGTGATTTGTGGTGGCATTCCTTGAAGGAGTCCTATATACAACAGTAGATTTATGATGGGCTGTGATGATGATGATAATAATGGTAGTGGTGGTGGAATTGATATTAAAATAATATTTGTTTTCCAGAAAGGGCCGTAAGAGCAATTTACAACTTCAAATTGCAAAGAGTCTCAGGTAAAACTTTAAAGAAATAAATATCTCTACTTTAAGATTTTTCTATCAGATGCTAAAAATTTACTTTAACATCGCAGTATATTAATAAAAATGTGATGTATGTCTACATGAAAATATCATTAGCTTTAGTACACAAGTAAAACTACAACAAGCAAACCTTGTGGACTCCAAATAATAAGGTAATTTATTTATGGACAATATTCAACGACTTAGTTAAATGAAAATTTTAGTTTTCCATTTAACTAAGTCTGTATAAAAAGTGTTGTTATAATTATAATATTAAGGAATATAAGAATGAAAATTATTTTTAGATATGTGGTGATCGCTGCCAAGCTGGTTTTATAATTATTATCATCAAAATCCTTCTATTATAATTCATATAAATAAAGTATATGAAGTATAATGGAAAGATTTTGGTTATACGAGCCATGCTGCAGTTATATTAGTAGTATAGTTGTAGCATAAATGGGTCGGATAGACCGGGGCAGGACCACGCTCTCTCAGAATACCATCGTGCTACAACTATACATCTAATATAACTGCAGCATGGCTCTACCACGTATAAAAATTTCAAATATATATGTATATATATATATATATATATATATATATATATATATATATATATATATATATATATAATTTTATATTTAAAAACAATACCGCTGGGTATTGTTGCTAGTAACAAGAAGAGGAATTCCTCGAAGCAATGCATAAAAAAAATTATCTCCAATAACTTCTATTTTATAATCTATATTAAATAAAAAATATTCTATTTTTTTCTACTTTCTTACAATAGAGCCATACCGATGGCCCATTCTGTCACGCTAGACTGTGTCAGTTATTCCTGCTATTCATTTACTTTTATCGCGCAGGGAAACTCCGGGGATAGACTTTCTATAGATTGCTAAACGACTGTTACCTCATACGGCCCACAGTGAAGAGCTGCGTTTCCGTTCCATATGTCATAATATAATGTCATGAAAAAGAAAATGTTGGCTAAGTACGGGGTTGATATACATGCAGGATAGGATGAATTCACTGCGTTGATTATCTTTTATATTTCTAAAAACTATAAATCATCCAGTGGTCTTTATAATTTTAATTGGAAGTAGTATTTTAAGACTTGATATTTTAAAAACTAGGCTTAATTTAGGGAACCTGATTGGTATTTTTTTGTCTTTATTAATATAAAATACACGCATTTAAAATAATAATAAACATCGCCAAACTGTGCAACAGTTTAGTTTTAGAAATAACTTTCTAATAATATCCTACTCGCTAAGGAAATCGAAAAGAAAATTATAATCCCGTTTTAAGTAGGTAAGAAGTAGTTACCCAATATATACATTTATTAAATGAAACTAAGTTTTACGGATTTTATCGCGTTTAATTTATTTTTTTAATTCCCGTTCGGGTGCTTTACAGCACCCATGGTCAAGGGGGTACTGAGGTGTTTGACGTACCAATGTCATAGTTAGCCAGGCTACCTCAAGTTTTTAAATATTAACTTTTGGTTTGATCTACGCAGAATGAGCTAAGAGTATCTTGAAGTCTTGCGTGGTATGCTTGGGTTTAGATTTAATTTTATTAATAATAGGATCCCAAGCAGATGATAGTACCCATCCATCCTCTTTATTGAAATTAGGATTTTTTTTTAAATTTCAATAGCCTTGCGAATCATGCTAGGGAGGAATCGAATTTCTTTTGCGAGGATTTGTGGTCTATCAAATCTAATGTAATGGCAGGGTCGATCTTGAACATGTTCCCAGACTGCAGACTTCCCGGAACGTCCGTGCTTCACGTCAGCTATATGTTCTTTTACGTGGGTTTTTATACGATGTACGAGAGTCAACATTCACAATCAAGCTTGTACACTCCTGCATCTTGTAGACGGATATTGCACTTAACGGACTGTAAATATTGACTAATCTTCTTCGGCGACTTTTAGTAGGTTTTTATAAAAGTGCTCTTCAACATGTAGCCACACAACAGGTACACACTGATCCGTGGCCGACTTCACTCGGTCACCGTGACGAGGGCGCGGGACCCGAAGCTTGTTGTTTTGTTGTTTACTTGTTTGCCGTACTGAAGCTCGGCGGCCATACATTTTCTGTCACAGATCCCTTGTGAGTTGATTTACCGTATAAATATCGGTTGGAATGGGTCTTTTCCTATACACAGCGTGACCAATAGTTTATATATATATATATATATATATATATATATATATATATATATATATATATATATATATATATATATATATATATATATATATATAAAACCATTGGTCACACTGTGTATAGGAAATATAAGATAGTATATAAGAGAGGTGCCAGACGAGAATACGGCTCACCTGATGGTAAGTGACTACCGCCGCCCATGAACAACTGCAACACCAGGGGAATTGCAGGTGCGTTGTCGGCCTTTTAGAAAGGAGAACCTTTCGGATGACTTAAAAATCGAGAAAAGTTAAACAATAATTTGCCTCTAACTCCACTGTGAATTGTATTTTCGAGTTTATGGAGTTGAGGTGGTCTAAAAATGTAGTAACTTTGTCAGATGGTAGAATTTTGAAAGTGTCTTCTGCTTGGATTTACAGGAGCAGTAAGAAGAGTTTTCTCAGAGTCTACGGGATATACAGGTGAGCCCATCGCCTCACCGTCTACTTGCTTTTAGAACTCTTCCTTCCACTATAGATAGCCCGATGTGAGGCAGTGTTTGAGTAATAAATACTGCATGTTCTGCAGGCATGTTGTTAACTTCTAGCCTCCTTGTTACAATTTTTAGAGCGTTTTGTTTGTGTATTTTCGGTAACCAATACAACCTCGGTGGTTTGGCACATGATGGTATTATCTAATTCACGTCGAGATTAAATTTTTCGTATTATCTTATTAAATCGCTAGTTGTTT